CCGCCACCCAAGTCACGGCGCTGTCCAGGCGCAGCGGCAGCCAGGGCGGCGGGCGCGGGAAGGCGGCACCCGCCGCCCACACCACCCACGCTACGCCGCGCCCCGCGCTCGACCACGGCAGCCCCTGCCGCACACAGCCCCCCGTCAGCTTCTCCTCTTTGACATCAACTGCTTGGCCACTGCTGGCAATACAGCTGCAAGCTACGTTCATGAACTCATTTTGTTAATACGTTCATTTACAGCTCGCTCATTTGTAAACAACTTCATCACTATCTCTTGAACGCCCTGCATGACGTTCATTTGTTTTACGACCTGTCGAAGTGGCCCCTTCTTAGAGTAATTCCTCTATATCTAGGTATTCACGAACCCATTGCAAGCGTAGAATTCACGCCCCTGCCAAGATATTTCAAATTAGGGTTGTTGTTATTTGTTTTAGCGGGTATACTTTAAATAGCGCCCCATGTGAGCGGCGCCCATGGCACGTACAATGTCTGCCATACCATAGATACGCCGCTAGTCCACACAGGTGAACATTTGTTGCATCTCGCAAATACGGCTTGTTTGAAGCTAGTACCATTGAAGTGATATTAAAATCGATGAAATCAACGAAAAATGCAGTAAAAATGACGTAAAAAGGTAAAAAAATAACTTATTAATTAAAATCAATGAAAAATCCAAAAAAGGCATAAAATGGGTCATTTCGTTTTGTCATAACATTACATGAATTTCTATATTAAACGGCAATGTTTTGAAGTGGAAATAAATTAAATCACATTTCATTAAAATCCGACCCTAGTCATCACTTTCACGATCACACAATAGGCCTACTGCATTATCATAACTGTCTTTAGTATTTGGTGAATAATGAAATATCCCTCAACAATTAAAACTTTGCTTTGTTTTGTACCTTGCAACAAACGTTTGGAACTTATAAATATGTCATTAAAGAAGGCATTTATTTTTGGCATCTTGCTCGAAATACAAACCCTACAGGCCAATTATAACTCTACATGCCAGCAGAATAGTAGTAACACCACAGAGCACAGAATCTATAAAACGCACCATCATCCAATACGTTATAGCAGCATTGTCGCATTAATGAAAAAAGGAGGTAAATGTAGATATTGTAGATCTATGAATTTTGGCCGTTGTTGGGCGAGATAGTTTAAGTTAAATGTCATTTGTGAACCAATGAAATGTTATGATGTCAGGGACTCCAAAAAGTTAAACAAAGCGCAATATCCTTCGTTCATCTTACGTTTAGGTTGCATTTAAAAGTAGTTTCCCCTTCCCAATAAAAAAGAGGACATTTTATCCTTTCTTGTAACTTCACGCTGAGAGTTTTTGCTAGTTCAAAAAGAGAACATGTCCGGGAAAAGAGAATGTATGGTAACCCTACATAATATTGCAATAAAAGTGTCAAATTACACATTTAACCTGTAATGTTTATTGATTTACATGTTTAAATAAAAAAATCCTGATTAGTTTTTGAAATCCAGTCCAGTGAGTATTGTATGAGTACAATTGATGCAAGTAAATTACATGTATTCACAGCATCTCAATCAAGTTTAATGCATCAGAAATAAAAAAACAGATTAAGGTTCTCTTTGTCCATAATTATTCAGTTTTCCTTGTTTTCCCGCAACTTTAAAATTCCTGACTTGTGGGATTTTAAAAATAATCGATTTATTTGCGATGTAGAATGCAACTTTGGTAATTGACGAGTTGCTTAACACAAGTTGCATAGAATTATTATTTAATATTGGCCAATTCAAAGTAAAATTTGCTCGTCTCTATTTCGTAATTGACCTAACATTAAATATGTAGGGTTTATTCGAAAAAGGTTGTTATTCAAAGCGGAAAAACAACAAAGATCGAATTCTAGACTCTCAAACTATTATTGATCATACAAAGTGCCTACAGAAATATAAATAATATTAAGAAATATAGAAAGAAAAATTATATTTGACGAATGTTGTTCGAGTCGGTACCGCGAAAATTCATCAAGCATTCGTCTTCATAGAGATCGGCAGTGAAAACGTAAGTATGTGATGATGAATGAAGATTGTTTTGAAAATTAGCAAAGTGATCGTTTACTATCGTTAAATATTTCTAATTAGTTATGCACTTTAAATGGCGACAATTTTCAAGAGGATTTCTTACAATTTCTCAACCATGTACTAATGAAGCTTTGAACGAAGGAGAATATGATGCATATGGGCACAAATGGGAGTGGTGGTGATTCAACCTACCGGCGAACCAAGGGGAGGTAATACTTAGTATTCCATTCAAATATCCATATAAATAAAAACACGTATTTAAGTTCCACGGAGCTGGAAATATAGAGTTCTCCCACGCTCTTTGGGAAGTTTGAAGATGGTGGAAAATGCGGTGATACATACCCGCAGCAAGTGCTGCGCTCTCTCCGCAGTGGCGGGCAGCAGCACCAGAGCGGCAACGGCGCCGTGGGGCGCGCAGCGCGCCTGCTGCCCGAGCCGGCCCGGCCACAACCACAGCCCGCGGGCGAAGAGCGCGCGCGCCACCCTCACACGCCCTGCAACGCACAGCGCCGCGTCACGCCCTGGCCCCAACGCATTAAGGCCTATTCACAATGCGAACGTAAACATAAGCATAGACATATACATTAACATAAGTGATAGACTGAAGTATTCACAATGCCTAACATAAACGTAAGCAAAATAAAACTTTCTATTGGCTGTGAGACTTTCT